CACCCCCCACCCCAGGAAGGCAGCCCCGACTCCTCCAGTTCCAGCAGCTCCTCCAGCGACAGCGAGCAGGAGGGGAAGGTAAGCCGGCTGAGGGAGGGGGTCTTGGGAGAGGGGTGGCCCAGGAACACTCCCCTCGCTTGCTCCTGGCCAGCAGAAGAATGCTAGAAAGGAGGGGAGAGCTCTCCAGTCCCTTGGCTGCCTCCTCCTGGATCGTCTTCTTTTAAGGCCAGCTGCCCCCAAAGGGTGAGGGACCCCCTCCACCCACAGGCCTCTTTGCCCATCCCTAGACCCCAGGAGTCAGCCGTATTTGCAAGGTAGCCCCCACCCCGCCCCCCTAATCTCTCTCACTTGGCGGCACTGGGAGGGCAGGGGTGGGAGAGAAGCACTGGTAGGTGCTAGTCGGATGTGGCGCGGACCAACTCTCTCCGCAGCAGGCAGCGAGAGCGGAGCGTCTTCCTGCCAGTTGCTCTGCCTCACCCTCCTTCTCTTCTCCCCCCTCCACAGCCCCCAGGGCAGCGGCAGCAGAAGAAGAAAGAGAAAAAGCCCAAGGAGGGAAAGAAACAGAAGCCCAAGAAGGAGAAGAAGAAGAAGAGCCACTGAGCCTCCGGGGGCCCCCACCCTCCACCCAACTGGCGCTCCAAGAAGGGGACACTTTATAGCCTCCCTCCGGCACACGGCTGCAGCCCTTTCCTTTCATGGATTACCTGTAAATAAAGGCTGAGCGCCCCCCTACCTGGGGATAGGCAGACCTGCACACTATGGAAGGATGAATGTTTACCTAGGAGGGGGCAGAGATAACCTCACCTTTCAGCCCAGCAAGGGTTAGGCCTTTCAAGGGGGGTACTCCACAGAGGGCCACACACAGCACGAACCACTGGAGAAAGGATCTCTTCCATCGGCCTCCCCCTCCCCCTCTAGGCCCTCCCCAGCTCCTGACCTCTCTTGCCCACCTCCGAACCTCTCCCACACGCTGAAGCCCCTAAGAGCAGAGACGGGCGTGGGTTGGAACGCGATTCTGGATGCTGCGGGGAGTCCAGGCAGCTCCTTTTCGTGAGAAAAACCAGCACGCCCCCCC